TCAAGGAACTTTGCAAATGGAATTGGACATTGTCCATTTTTATTAAATTTACCATAATATTCACCACCTCTATCAGATCTCACAACTTTAACTTTTCTATTTAACTGTCTCTCTACCTCATAAATGAATATCTCAAGGATATCCACTGATTAATTTTTTTGGGGCCCTTTTTTTTTCTTAACCCCTTTTCCATTAATGATATCTCAAGGATATCCACTGATTGAGTCTTTCATCAGTAAACTATACCATAACCGTACTGTTTGAAGAAATTTCATCGATAAAGGTAATAAAATATTTTTCACCACCCCAAGAGGGAACATCAAAAGGCCACATATATCAGCTGTGTATAAGTTCATTGCAATTTCACTGCTTCTTGTGTGGCTGAGAGCCTTTAATGTGTCTTAGTTTTGCTTACCTTTTATCGCAATCATATACACACATTCCCAGTCAGTGAATCCAAATTGAGGTAAGATTCCACCTTTTCCACTAACCTCAAAATCCTTCTTGGGATTTGTGACCTAACACTTTTGGATGCCACAAGGAAAGCAGAAGATTCATTATGTGCACTACGCTTTAATACCTTATATTGTGTTCAAACATTAAATAGAGATTCAATAAATTCACTTTCAAGATTAAACGATACAAAAACTATCATCAAAGTACCAGAAACCATAATAGTACTTAAAGTTTGTATTTAATGAAAAAGTTTGTATAATGAAAAAACACCATTACAAATCTTAAAACTGAAACCAACATTATCCAACCTCCCTACAGAAACTAGATTTCTAGCATATTCAGGAATATAGAGACACTTTTCAAGATCCAGATAACAACCAGTGTCCGGGATCAATCTATAAGTCCCAATTCCTTCTATTCGTGCCTTCATTCTGTTTCCCATGAATAGGAACTTTTCAGTTTCGTTTATGGTTTGGATCGAAAGAAATCCCTGTATAATATGAGACATATGAGTAGTTGCACTAGAATCTAACCACCAGGTATTATTAGGCACTTCAATAAAATTTGACTGAAACATTAAAGTATACCTTTCTCTTTTCAAACCAAATCTTCCTTTTAGGCACAGTCCTTCTTGAAGTGACCATTCTTCTACTTCCTACAAAAGTAGCACTTCAATTCCTTATGGATTTGGCCCTCCTTCAATTCCTTATGGATTTGGCCCTCATTAACCTTCATTGGGGCACTGTCCCTTTTCTTGCCTTTCTTCCCTGATTTGTTGTTGCTACTGCTGATAGCTCCATTATGAAATGTGAGATTGACAGAGTGTTCCTTCCCTTCCTCTTGTATTAACACGACCTTATTTCCTGAATGTTCCATTTTTCCTTAAGGGTGTTGTAATTCACCTGGAACTGACCAAACTCAAGAGGAAGTGAAGTTAATAATAAATTGAACTAAAAAGGATTCTCTCACATCCATTCCCATTGATTTCAGTTTAGCTGCCAAATTTTGCATGCCAGTCACATGATCATGAATGGATTGTGACAAATCAAACTTCTTGGTCGTCAGTTCACTCATCAAGGATCCTAAGATGGACTTGTCAATTATGTCCGATTGGGAGTATTCCTTAATTTTCAGTATGTACTCTTTTGCATTATCTGTTTTGGGCATTGACGACTTAACATTTTCAGCCATTGTCATCCTCATTAAGTTCAAGCTCAGCCTGTTAGATCGCTCCCAAGCCTCATAATGAGACTTGTTAGCTTTAGTGTTGGTCTTTGTAATGGCTGCTGGCTTTTTAGAGACTAATGCCAGATCCAAGTCCAGAACTCCTAACTGATGATGGATTTGTTCGGACCAATTAGCATAGTTTAATCCATTGAACTTAATCAACCCAGTGCCCATAGCAAACATGTTAAAGGAAGTTGCAATATTACATATATACTCATACGTTAATGTTTTGAGTAAAAATGGATCAAAAACAATTAACAACTTTAATTATGCATTAGATCAACCTTAATTGGCTAATATTTTAAATGGCATAGCTTTAATCAATTAATGATGCCAAGAATAAAAATACTTTAATAGACTTTCATTGTGAGTAACTTGCGAGCCTTTATGCAAGTCAGAGAGAAGCAGCCCGTGCTTCATTGCAGCACGCCCGTGCTCCTTTTCTGCAATCCAGTTTACTTTTTTTTTTTATTCCCATTCAACTATTCAATAATGCTCATACAATATGCATGTTATTTGGATATACATTCTTGGATATACATTCATATTAATTAGTACAATGATAAGTGTCTTTAATATCATTGATTATAATTAATGGTCTACCTTTGGGTAACCTAACAAGTTATAATCAATGATCTCAATTGTTCACTATTTTAACTTTCATGTCATTTAACAGCTTCATACAAACATGAACAATTGAAAGCTGCATAATCAATGCCTGAAATAATCCAAACAAGGCCACTTTGGTGACTAACTAGTTTTCCATTCATTAAACATTGCAAAACTTTTATGAGATTAAATTAATATCTCAAAACTTTAACGACATAACTCAATAATATGTCATAACCATTCTCTATAAATAATAACAAAATAATTTGTAAAGCATAAAGAAAACAAACAGTTTTCAAATTTCTATAATTTTGGCTTCGCTTATACCATATAAATCAATTTCACCATACGAAATTAATTTTTGTTAATTAAGCCAAACAAAACGCTATCATACAAATCTAGAACAGAACCAGGCTCTGATACCACATGTTGAATAAACTTTAATATAGCCCAGATCTATTGTTCATAGAATTTGTTTGACAAGAAACAAGAATTATACAATTATAATCGGAAGCGTACCCTTAATCCATAACGGCAGATCTATGTTATGGGTTACCTCGTTGGGACAATTCGATTTTCTCCAGTAACAGCAGATCTACGTTTCTCACTCTTGGCCTTTGTCCGTAAAGTGCTCTCTTAATGGTCAGAGAATAATCAACAGCTGCGGGAGTTTTCTTTTATGAGCTCTCTCAAACAAACTATCTCCGTATTGTGTTGAGGGAGCCGTCACACTCTCTTGTTTCTGTTGTTAACCCTTAATCTGTTGATTCCTCTTTCTTTATAAGGCAAAGGGAAGGGTATTAAAACCCTAACTGGCCTTATCCATTAAGGCCAATAAACCATTCATCCTTGGGCATCTTAATTAGAACCCAGCCTTTTAATCACATGGGGCCACATACAGATTATTAAAATAATCTTAACAGTAAGGTACAATAAAAATGAACTTTATTTATCACATGGGCCACATACAGATTATTAAAATAATCTAACAGTAGGTACAATAAAAATGAACTTTATTTAGATGCAATTAACATGTTTATGAAAATGATAATAGATATAGAGTTTAAATCTTAAAATTTTACTTTCCCTTGTGTGATGAAGGCTTGTGCTAGGGTTTTAGATGTTAGGTTAGCTAAAGTGATTGTGGCATGGTAACAAAGATGCACTTGATTTTTGATTTTTTTGTGGGTAACGCTTTGATTTGCAATTTTATGGAAAATGTGGGTTAGTTGATGATGCAATGCACGTGTTTGATTGTATGCCAATGAGAAATTTGGTTTATATTAGATTTAATTATTTGTGGGTTTTCTAAAAATGAGTTTTCTTGAGAGAGTCTTAATATGTTGGTGAAGATGTCAGTTGGAGAGGAAGAGTCTCAAAAGCCATTAACTATCTCTATGGTTGCAGCTCTTGGTTCTACTGCCAGGACTGCCAAGGTCATTTGTTGAATATTTTGCTTGTTTGCTTGGAAAATTCACAATTGTACAGTCAAAGAAATTTCATGGCTATTCAATTAGACATGGGTTTTAGTACCATGAATTGGTGGCCAATGCTTTTGTTGATGTCAATGCCAAGTGTGGGTTGATGTGTTCTACTAAATGTGTATTTAACAGTACGGATATGAAGATTGAGTTCTTGGAATGCACAGAATGGTAATCCTAAATAAGCTTTAAGTTCATACTTTTTTTTTTTGCTTAAATTTATGAAAAATTGGGGATTTTGAAAAAAAATGGGTATTTTGCCTCTCTACAGTAGTTGAGTGTCATTAAGGGTAACTTGGAGATTTATTTATATTCTCTCTCCTCATTTCTACTTTTTGTTTATTTTTAACGGTGATTTTAACTTAAAATAGACTGAAGGACTTACTTATTGGATGAAATAATAAGTTAGAGATTCCAAAGTTATTTGTTAATACTAGAAGGACGTAAGTGTTAATTTGATTATAATTTAAAAACGTAAAAGTATTTTACTCCCCAAAAAATTTATTTGGACCTTATATTTTCGGTCAGGTTGTTTCGGTTTTTGCACAGCCCTAATCGTTGCTGGTTTGTTGTCGTTGTTGCTGTTGTCATCGTCCCCTTTGTCATCGTCGTCGTTGCTATCTTCGCCTTTGTCACCATCGCTAGTCATCGTAGTTGAATCACAGAAGCCGTTTCTTTTTAAGGTTGCTTGTTACTTAATTTTTTTTTACCAAAATTGATATATGTTAATTTCTAAACCTTTCTAACATTTTTATTTAATTTGAAACCTTATTTTTGACATTTATTAAGTTGCCCTTTTACTAGTTAACTATCTCTTTTTTTTTTTGTGTAAACTACTGATATTCAGATCCTATTACCAAGGACCACCTAATTCGACTTGAGACTTAATCACAGTTAAAATTGTTCGCCGCTTTATTAATTAATTAGTCTTTTATTGGAGGCCCATATCTAATTAATTAACTTTTAACTTAATATTACGAGGAAAGTAGTTACTTGAGCAGTTAAGATGTCGCATGCATGGATTTAAGAAACCGCATGGAACTTTATAAAAGTAAAGCTCAAACACAAAAAAAAAAAAAAAAAAAAAAAAAAAGCCCAAACGACGGGAACAAAAAATTAAAACTCAATTCAATTTCTACCAATAAATCAGCAATTTTTAAAAAAAAAAAAAAAAAAAAAAAAAAAAAAGCCCAAACGAGGGAACAAAAAATTAAACTCAAAATTCAATTCTACTCAATAAATCAAGCAATTTTTATTTCAACTTCAATTTCATTTTAGTTCATTGTATTTTCTTTTCCCAATATTGTTAATTTTTCTTGCTCAATCTATTTTTCTACAAAGTGTTGATGCAAAACGTTTTACCATAGAGCCAAATGCATTCAATCCTCTAATTAGGAGTGGAGTTCGGATAATACATTTACTTCTATAATTAGTAGACTTCAATACTTAGGACGCGCAAGCTGTTTGTCAGCCTTTGATTGTTTTTATAGTGCAAACAATTGGTGGCACGGTTGATGGAGAGTTATCAATCGAATTCCTAGGTGAATTACTCACCGCAACTTCATCCGCCAAGTTCGATGGTTGATGACGTGGTTTTAGTTGCACAATTACTATTTGATATTTTCACAAAATTCAAATAGTTTTACCGAGCATGCTAAATAGATTTTTTGCCCCAAAATTTATTGGGTACTTGGACTAGTTTCTATAAAATAGTGAAGGACCTATAAGGAGAGAAAAAGCAGTCGGCAAAGATGAAGAAGAGAGAGAGAGACAGATGAATAAATACTATGAAATTCAGCAGAATTTTAGCATATTCAATGTATCCTGCTTTTACAATGAATGTTTTGTCCTATTTATACTAAATTTTTTCTTGCTAGGCAAGTAAAAGTCACTTTTAGAATATTTTGAAAAACAAGTCACGAAGTATCTAAATATTTAAAGTCCTAAATCATTCTGGGCTTCTAGAGAGTTCTTCGGCTAAATTCTTAAGTGGGTTGGACAATAAAAAAGGCCTTTAAGTGATTGGCATAAATTCTTAGTTGGGCCTCCTCTATAGCTCGATACATTAGGCCCTTAATGGGCCTATTCAACATCTTGGAACAACTCTAACCCTTGCCCTAACAACCTCTGTCAACATGATTTACTTCCTATTGATATGGCATGATTAGTAACAGACACGTATAATACGCTCCTTCTCTAAAATGCACGTTTCATTAATTCAAATGATGAAACACATCGTTTTGATTAAACGCGGCACCGTTTTATTTGTGCTACTTATTTCACCAAAAGGCCTTTGCTTACTGCAATCCAAGTTATCGCCATAATCACCCACTTTGAAAATGTCACAATATCTCTTATAGAATCCGATCCGATTTTCCACTTTCGGGTTGGATCCTTTACCGCATTCCGTAGAACCACTGATTATATTGGAGATGACTCCATATCCTGGAAGTCGACCCGCTTGTACATCTGAGGCAGATGGTTTCCATTGGCCAGTAATGACAGCATGGCACGATGGTTTTGGTGACTGTGGGGTCATCCAGAACCAGAGAGCAGTCTTGAAAGATATAATCGGGTCGGCTGCTACAGCATCCGGGTTGTTCAATAAGTCAATGCCGATTGCCTTTCCTGCTGCACCGTAGTTAAAATTGCTACAAAAGTCAAGGTCAATAGTCATTCATATGTTATATATTCAATAAATGTAATTAAATACTCCTCTGCCTAAAAATATAAGTCATTTTTGAATGATTATTTTGTTTTAAAATATAAATTATTTTGAATATTTAAAAGCGTAATAAATAATATTTTTCTAATGTTATCTTTATTTACATTAAATAAAATAAATATTTTCACAAATAATTATTAGTTTTGAGATAAATAGTCAAATTACTGTTAGTTTTGTTATAATTTAGGAGAGTTAATTGCTTCCTTAATCCTTGTGCAAAAACCTTAAACGATTTATATTTTGGGATAGAGGGAGTATTATATTTTTAATGTACATATTGCTATATTATTACTTACTCCCTCTGTCCCAAAATATAAGTCGTTTAAGGTTGTTGTACAAAGATTAAGAAAACTATTAATTCTCATCGATTATAAAAAACTCAAGAGTAATTTGACCATTTATCTTAAAACCAATAGTTATTTGTGAAAGTATTTATTGCAACTAATCTAAACAAGGGTAATATTGGAAAAACATCATTTATTACTCCTTAAAATATTTAAAACGACTTATATTTAGGGAGAAAATAATCACCCAAAAACGATTTATATTTTGAGACACATGGAGTATTAAATATTACTTTTTCTGTTTATAAATATTTGTCACATTTGAGTATTTTACGTTCATTAAGAAAATCATTTTCTTGTCTAATTCACAATAAATTATTAAGTGAATTAATTATATTACCTTTAATTTGTCTAACTTACAATAAATTATTAAAAAATTGAAGCAATCACTATTGGTCATATATAAAGGGTAAAAATGAAAAAAATAATTTATTATTTGTGAGTCCACAAACATGACAAATATTTGGAATATAGTATTCTATCAAATGTGGCAAGTACTATAGCTATTCAATAATATACATTTGAAATTTCATATCTCTTAAGAAAATCGTTAAATTTGTCTAAAATAAATTATTGAGTGAATTGACTATATTACCATTATTTTAATACTAATTCTCTAAAAAACCCATTAAATTGAAATAATAATTATTAATCATATATAAAGGGTAAACATAGAAAAAAATTTATAATTTCTTGAAATCATAAATGTGACAAGAATTTTAAAACAAATTATTTTTTCAAATATGACAAGTATTATGTAACCGAGCTAGTATTTAAAAATGTAAGGAGTATATATTAGTGGATAGTGTATGGATTTATTGTTACTTTCAACTTGTTTGACTGAACCTAGTTGAAGATAAATTAAAAAAAAAATGTTAGTTTTAATTTAATAGCCGATTTACAAGCTGGTTGAATTCAATTTTCAAAATATTACTTGGAGCTCATTTACTTTTTTTTTTTTTTTATGTTCAACTGGAAAATTATTTGAAGCGCTATTCATGTCTTCAGTTTTTTGTAAGTTACTCTATCTTATTTCTTTTTTTTTTTTTCAACTAATTTTAAAAACACTCGTGTTACAGTTTTATTTTTACATCGTCTTTTTCTCTTTAAAAAAATATTACAGACAATCCAACATCATTTGACCTAATCTAATTCAAAACTCGTAAATTTAAATCAAAATTAATCTAAAATCATTTTGCAATTTGGTATTATTTTGAACGATTGCCAGGCAATGTTTAACCTTTTGGCCAAATGTGGTTCTTGGATAGATAAGAAGACAAGCCAAAAAAAAAAAGCTCTTGTCCCTGCTCCAGCTTTCTATTTATATGGTCGTTTTCAGTTGTGGGAATCTGTCCCTCAATGTCTATTACCTTTTTACACTGTTTAATGAAATTTGTATTTCTTTCGAAAAGAAAAATTTGCAATTTGTTCTGATAAGGAGTAATTGACCTAGACTCCAATTAAAACGAATAATAACTGAATTCATTTTAAAAAAAATACAATCTAAAGTAATTCAAACTCAAAACAACTTGAAGAGATTTAATTTCAACCCAGTTGATTTAACCGGTTTTCCACCTCTAATTTTATTTATTAAAAAGTTATACTATATTTCGCATTAAACTATCTAAGAGATACAAATTTCTAATTTTAAAAGAAATTTTGCTGTTTGCATTGAAAACTTAACTTGTTTGGATTTATTTAACATCATAACCAAATAATAAATAATTTAGTTCACAAACTCTAGTAAATGTATAGTATTCCTAGAACCTATAATAACAGCTATCAAAAGCATTTGCGTAGTAAGGAAGTGGAACTTACTATGAAATTAGGATGGGACCTCGGCCATAATACTTCTTACCAGGAGCACATGCCCATTCTTTAGTTGGAACACAATAATTCACTTCCTTGTCTTGTTCCTGGTTATAACAATAACCCCAAGCAAAAGGACCATCCGGGGCACTAGGCCACCCACCTTCAAAAGTCCAAAAAAACCTATTTTAGCTCAGTATTTTCGGTCAAGACACCCACCTTGTTCCTGGCTGTTATTTTTCATAGGCAGGAAGCATTTCTTACCGGAATATCAGCATTTTGGTATACATGGAAAAATATTTACAGGGAATTGAGATTGCTAGGAAGAATGCACAAAACCTGTAGTTTCATGTGAAGTTTGACCCAAAAAAGCAGCAATCTCTCTTTTACGAGTGTCAATATCACCAATTGTACCAAAACCATCAAATGACTGGGCAGCAGAAATGAAAGCATCGTAAGTGTAAAATCCATTAGCAGGACAATTACTATCATTACGATGCTTTAACATTTCATTAAACATGTCTTGGCTAATAAGTGAACTGATGTTGCCACTACCATCGCTGGGGGTAGGGTTCGAGCCACCATCAAAATTGCATTGGCTCTGGCAGCCATTGGAGCAGTACTCAAGAGTCATACCGCAGTAACCGAATTCGCTGCAACATAGTCCATCAGAACACAGTGCCCCTCCTGCTTGGTTTCCACACCGCTGAGCCAAGGCCCTTGACGTAGAGACTAAAACTAACAAAATCACTAATACCCAGAACCTCATTTTCTATTTTACTATTTCTATTGATGAATACCTCTTTTGGTTTGTCAATGAAACTGCAAATTAAATGTTTCATAGTATTTATAATTAAACTTTTTGTCCAAAATATTGCAAAGTCAACATCTATGCATTTTCTAGGACTTTTCACGATATGTTTGGGGCTTGATTTTCAGAGCATCTTCAATGCTAATGCGGATTGTGGCTGATGTGTCATATGAAATAGAAGATGTGAATGGTAATGTTAGTGAATGTCTATTTATATGTTGAATTTTAAAAATGCACTACTTTCAGGTTTATCTTGCATCTTATTTCTTCTTTTCTTTTTTGTGTACACAATTTAATATGCAGTCAATTACTATAGAGCAATAAATGTCACATTGTCAAAGAAACCCTTTAGAAATAGAAGGTGTGGTTAATAATGTTCGTTTATTTTTTCGACACATCAGCTTGATTTATTAAATAGACATTAGCATCGGAGAGCATTTTTGAAAAAATCTTTCTATTTTTCTAATGTAACAATTAAATAAGAGCAATCTACTTTAACATTGGAGATACTTTCAGCCGATATATAATATGATTAGAGTGTCTTGTATGAGAGGCTAGTTTTTATTTCTATATCTTTCTGACCAATAAGAAGTCAAGATCTAGCTCTCTTGCTTAGACAGCGCAATTACTATCCAATCAGTCTTTCTAAAAGGGATTTTCCATGGTTGACAAGTAAAGAAATGGGTTCTCCAACATAGAAATTTCTAAGAGATGCAAAATTCAAAAGCGTGTTTAATACTTTTAATTAAAAAGTTGACGTATAAACTGGGGGCTTTTGAAAATTTTTGTACTCATTTGATGATATTTTTAACTTCAGTCACGTACGACCTTGCTCTTAATTTAGGTTCAGGTCTTAGGTTCTTGTTTCCTTTTTTTTTTTTTTTTTTTTTTTGCTCTTAATTTAGGTTCAGGTTCTTAGGTTCTTGTTTCCTTTTTTTTTTTTTTTTTTTTTTTTTTTTTTCTTCTAAAGGTCCAAATCGGGTTGCTCCAAATCGACTGCAACATAAACATCTCAACTTCAACCAACTTGATGGATAATCAAAATAAATAAAAGTAACCAAACTTTTGAGCAAGTTCAAGGAAAGTGTATTGGACTAAAACTCTATTAGATTTTAAAAGATTTTAGAATTTCAATAGTATTCAACCTAGATTTTTTGGAGTTTATTAAAATCTTGTGCCATTTAATTTAAACTCTTATAAAATTGATAAAAATGTGATGATATTCAATTATGTCTTTTTAAGAGTCCATACAAATTTGATAGTATTCAAAAATTACTGATTTGGAAAGATTTTATAAAAAGATTTTATAAAATTATTGATTTCATTGGATTTTAAAGTGCTAGGTATGAATAAAAGAGTCATTCACAAATCCATCCTCCAACTCAAAGATTTAAAATTTTTTTTAAAATCTAACAGAGTCTTAATCCAATGTACTTCTTAATAAGGATGGAAGCAGAGTAAGTACACACGAATTTTAAACGTATCCGTTCTAAATCCATTTAAATACTCTTTTAAGTACTTGTATTCGAACCCGTTTAAATTTTACTATCCGTATCTATCCAAAATTCATTTAAAGTACTTCTTAAATGGATAGAGTGCTCATGAATCTTAAACTATTTAAATTTGAATTTATTTAAAATACATTTTTACTAATAATGGATAGGGCATTTGCGGGTACCTATTACCGAACCCGTTTAATTTAAGGGTTAACGAGTAGTTGGTTTCCAAATATCTATACACGTACCCTATTTGTATCCATTACGGGTAGTACGTGTACTTTATCTGTAGTAATTTCACTACTCATATCCATTATGAGTAGTAATTTCACTATCTATATTCATTCCAAACCCTTATATAACTACCCATATCCTTTTTAAGCAGATCGAGGTAGAGCACATATCCTAAAATACCTATACTACTTCCATCCTTATCCCTTAAGATGTAAAACAATATATTAATTATTAGATTAGTTTCAAATTAATGCATGTGTTGAGAATTTGATATTTTGACAAAAATTAATTTTAATGGTGCAGATTAATTTGAATATTTTTTGAAATTTTTATGCATTGATTTCAATTAAATAATAATTTAATCAAATAAAAATTGAAAAGGCATTGAAATAGTCAAAGAACTAAAGAATACAATATGTCATTATTGTGGCCGGATCACTAGGCTCCGTGAGCTGTAAGCGACGGGTTGTACACCGATTTTAAATTAATATAAAACCTCCTCATTGCGTGAGCTCTCGCAATTGTTGCAGGTCCTGGCTAATTGTGGTTGTTGGTTTTCGGTTTTATATATATATATATATATATATTATATATTATATATTATTATATATATATATTATTATATATATATATATATAATATTATATATATATTTTATTTTCATTTATTTATTTATTTAAATCTATGTTTTTTGGATGAGGTGGTCGCCGTTCAGTCAAGGGACGAGAAGTCTGTGGTCTTCTGACCACATTGTGACTATTCTGGGACCACAAGATGGCTGCCGGCGATGGTGGCCATTGCTGGCCTTTCATTGTCGGTGCCAGTAAGGTTTTAATGAAGGAAAAAAACGATTTTGGAGAAGATGATGCATTTACTTTTTGGTCCCTCATTGTTTTTCAGTTTTTCAATTGGGCTCTAAAATCTTTTAATTTGTTCAATTAGGTCCTAGAATTAATTTTGATTAGATATATAAAAATCACTGTAATTCCATCAAAGTCAATCAAAATCTATAAAAAAAGTCTCACCAATTCCATAAAACTCTAGAATTCTAGTGAAATCTATGAAATTTTAGGAAATCTCTTTCAATTCCATCAAACTCAACAATTCTCTTAAAATCTTACACAATTCTAATTCAATACACACTCATAAAATAATATATTTGAATTCTATAACATATTGAAAGATAAATATAATTTAATATATTATATTATTCATTATTTTTATTAATTTGAAGGTTTAATTTCATTCTAACTGTGACATCAATTTATTATTTTTATTATATTAATATTACAAAGGTAGTCACATTCTAAATTAGGAAATTGTCTTATTATAACTGTTTAGTTTTAATTGCTTTTGAATATCAAGAATTTTATTAACTACCTTTTTGCTTCAACTTTCATATATAGATTGTGATTATTCTTTTCTTTAATTTTATTAAAAATTCAATCTCTCATGATTATATCTTATTTAAAATTAAAATTATAAAATTTTTGAATATATCATTATTTTATTAGTACTACGATAATTATACTATTCTAGTTGATAATGTATAACTTTAATTTTATTAATGATAATAGTGACATAAGTGGTGTTTATTTTTTTTAATAAAATAATTGCTATTAAATTTTTTAAGGCGAATTCATCATAAACAAAATATAATTCCAAAATTAAAATAAATAATAAAATTTTTTGTCATGAAATATACTTTAATTTGATATGTTTAAATTCAAAAAATAATTGTCAAAATTTGTAAGTAATAATTTTATTATAAACACTCATTTTCTAAAATTAAATTAAATCAACGGGTTTTGAAAATAAAAACTCAATATATTATATTATATTTTTATTTTTTATATACACAAGTCAATATTTTATTTTTTTATACTTAAAATTTTAATACTTAAATAAAATTAACTCTATTATATAAAAATGAATTTCAAATATTGAAAGTTCGATACTTTTTTTTTATCATGTATTATCAGTTATTATGAAATTGCTGTGTGCAATATAATAAAATTATGAATGGACATAAATTAAATAAAATTATTAATTGTGTCTGCTTTTATTTTTTAAAAATGTATTTAAGTATAGTTATGAAAATTATAAAAGTAAACAAATAAAAAAAAGAGGTGAATAATTTCTATTAAAATTATAATTTATTGGAAAAAAATTTAATGAAATTATAATTATAAAAAATAAATTCATAACTACAAGATGTGAATAATTTATCAACTTTTAAAGAATATTCATTGAAAGTATGCAAATATCAAATCGTTGAAATAATAAATCCATTCCCGAATTTCTAATTTCATCATGATTTTTTATTATTTTCTTAATAAAGTAATTACCTAGATTTAAAAGAAAAATCATCAGATATAAAATATAAGTTCAAAAATTATAAATAAATATTTAAAATTTTATCGTACAATATACTTTACGTTTTCAGAAAATAAAAATTCAGTAATTTACAAGTAATTATTTTATTATTCACTAATTTAATTAAATATTAGAAATATATTCTAAATTTAGAATAGAAAATAAATAATGATATATAAGTATTCATATTTTGACTATTTTCATTAAATTAAATCAAAAGTTGTGAAAATTAAAAATATTACTATATTTTTTATATTAATATGAATAAAAAATCTAATATTTTGTAATTTAAAATTTATGAAACTCTAGTTAAATCAATTGTATCTTTTAAAAAAGAATTTAAAGTATAAAAAAATTGATCATTTCATTTTCAGTACTTAATATGAATTATTTTAAAAAAGTTTTGTATTCTTTTTAAATATTATGGAAAACTATTTATTGTTGGTTACCTTCAGTTCAATAAAGAGTAGAGTAAGGATCAATATTTATTTTTTCATGCATATAATTAAACAGATTATATGCGAAAGGTGAAGGCTAATAACAAAAATGAAAATGTACCTAATTATATAAAATTTTTAACTATTTTTATATATAATTTTTCATGTTGTGGGTTGAAAATGTTTAAGGTGATGATATTATCTAGATAGACCTTAGTTGTTTTGTATTTAACAATTTTATTTTAATTAGTATGAGACATATAATTGTTGTTTTGATATTTTAAATATACTTATAATTATGTTCATTTTATCTTTAATTATATTTGATTGTTAATTAATTTTATTATAAAGTATATAAATTATAAAATTTGAAAACAGAATAGAAATGGAAATATGAAATTTTTTAGCAACATATTTAGAAACGGATTAAAGATTAAATTTCATGATC